AACTGAGAAAGATATTATTCCTAACATTAATTCTCTGCTACTGAAAGAAATCCAGATATTCCATACTGTATGTACTACAAGTCTAAAATAGATTTGATCATTCAGTCATTTATAGTGTGAAACTAACATACAAGAAATGTTATTATCTCGATTCATACATCAAGACATTTTTTTTTTTTTTTAACGACACTTCCAGACATAATTTTCTTAAATCATTACACCCATTAATATAAATTAATAATCAAATGCCTCTGATTAGCATACAGCTAAACTATATAATGGGAAGTTATTACATATTTTCAAATTTTGTATTTTACTTATAATATTTACGAATAATTACATATTCACCTAATTTTAAGAATTTTTTGTTAGAATAATTTTGAATTAACTATTTTTTTGATTTTTAAAATAAGATTATTCTGGATTTTTAAAATAAGGTTCAAATTATAGAACTTTTGAATTTGGACTTGAAGAGGATGAACCGAACTTTTCTAACTCGATTTTGACCTTCAAAATTGAAATAAGTTTCTAACTGGTGTCGGTTGGTCCAACCAAGAAAAAATGGACCCGTCCCCAAGTTCCATAGTTTTGAGTCCGCTATTTTTTTAACTGATCTCAACTCAAATTTGAATTTACGTGAAATTCAACACAAACAATATCTATGACACGATCTCAAATATTAGATACATGATTGATAACAGGGCGTGAAATTTACATTTTTCATCGCATTTTCAATCAACTTAGCCATGGTTAAATTGATAGGTTTGAGTTTTGTTTTGAACATAGTATGTAGATTGACGGATCGAACAATATTTTTGACTAAAATGACAAAAATAAATACTATAGTTTTAGTAGAAAGAGCTTCTTTTTACATTTTTGTGTGTGTCAAGACTAGAAAGAGATATACAGTAACTGTATAAGACATTGAAGTTAATAGATAAATGTTTTTTTCAAAAATAAGTTAATAGATAAATGACAAAGATATTTTTTTCAAAAAAACAAGTTAATAGATAAATGAAAATTTAATTGAACTAGTTATTGTAGCATTGAGAATTACACTTTTATATTTCTAAAAAAAAGGATTACATTTAATATAGTTATAAAAAATTTAATCATGTTAGTAAAAATGAACCAAAATAAAGAAAAGTTAGCTGCCATGGTCCGACAAGTCTACTACTCCCACCACACGACCGCTTTTGTCGGTCCCATTCCGCTACTCACGCCTCAAAATCTCCCCCAACCCTTTTCACTCTTTGATTGATTATTTGCATTTACCTTTTTTTTTTTTTTGGGGTCAAACCATTTGCAAA